GAGAGAGAGAGAGAGAGAGAGAGAGAGAGAGAGAGAGAGAGAGAGAATGAACTTGTGATGGGGAGGGAACAAACTCTGGCCATTGATTAACTGCTGTTACAATACTCAAAACCTATCATTCTTAGACGAAATGGCCAAACAAGACTTTAGGTTAAAAGCAAGATAATGATAATGAATAAAGTTGGTTGCTTTCTCTGTTTCTTTAGTTCAGATTATTTGCAAATACACACCTCATTTTCATTGTGCTGGAAGAACCTCAATATATCTGAAGGGTTTTACATAAACTCATTTAAAATCCATATATAAAATCCACACTACAATTCAGAGAATTGTATATGAGGAAGGGTTCTGCCTGACACACATCACCAATAAGTGTTAGCTATCACCATGATAAAGTATTCATTTGATCCCTCAGCAGAGTCACCACTTGGTCTTGTTGGCCTTTCCATAAAGCATCCCAGAGAACACAACGGTCCATGGACCTACGGTACGTACCTCCTGCCTTTTTGTAGGCCTTAATTTTGATATTAGGAAAATGAAGACCTTGGATTCTTTAAATTATTTGACTGGAAGGTTTTGTCTTCATGAAGTACCATAGGTTTCCTCCATGAAGTTCAGGCCTATTGAGTGTCACCAGTGGTTGGGTTGGTGCCATGGACACAGAGGATGCATCAGGCTAGGGAAAGGGGCTCTGGCTTCTTCAGGAGACAGTGTTTACTTTTCTCTGGGCAGAGTTTGTGGAAGTTAAGAAAACCTGGTGAAACAGATGCCAGGGACAGATGTTACCTAATTTGGTCAAAGAACAAAGTATGTAAAACATTTGGAAATCCTCAAGAGTGCATGGGGATGGGGACACCTGCATGAAGGGCTCTGCATCTCACAGGGTGAGCACAATGTATTCACTATTTCAATCAGTTTGGGTTTTGGCGAAGCAAGTTTCTGGATTGGAATCTTGACTGCACCACTATTAGCACTACTTCGTGCATGGTACTCCCAGGACATGATATGCTTGCACAAGGTGTTTGAACCTCATATTGCTTATGTGTAAAATGAGGTAAACATCTACGTAATGAACAATAAATGTCCTGGGATGGAATAGGGCAAGGCAGAATGAGTTTCATTAAATAAAAGCTGCTATCATTAAAAGAAAATTAAAGCCAGGCACAGTGACTTTGAATCGAAAGTTCCAGGCCAGCCTCAACACTTAGTGAGATCCTTAGCAACTTAGCCAACCCTGTCCCAAAATAAAATAAATACACAAAGAAATAAAAAGGACTGAGGATGTAGCTCTGTGGTAAAGCCCCCTTCCCCGCGGTTTGATTCTTAGTTCCCCAAAATAAAAAATGAATAAATAAAAAGAAAATTAATAATCTCATTCCAGACACGTTTACTCCTGCTTTGCTGAGAATTCTCAAACCTCAGTAGTTTCTTTTAAATGATAGCACCCTTGATCCCTCACTGCCCCTCCCCACCCTGCCCCCACCCTGGGCGGTGGAGTGCTGGAAAGAGACGGTAGAGAACTGGGCAAACCAGGTCCATGCCCCCTCCTGGCATGGTGGGGCCTGTCATGGCGGCCCATCACCTAAGCTGAGCAAAAAGCATGGAAGGGTCGAAGGGTCAGCGCTGTCCAGACCTCTGCCTCGCCGGCGGTCGCCAGGTCTAGTTTAGTGCCAGCAACAGCTCAGCTCTGTCCAGGTCTCCCAGCGGCGCTGGGCCCGCTCTGACCCCGGGCTCAGCCTTAGCTCAGGCGCCCACCTGGGGAGGCGGCGGTCAGGGCCTCGGGACTAGTAGCCAAGGCCCCGTAGCCGGCTGGGGACTGGCGCCAGCGCCACCGAGCGCACCGGGCCAAGCTCCGGGCGATCCCGACGCTCGCGTGCCCTCCCCGCCCCCTCCGCGCCTTGCTTCTCCTCGCTTCGCCCCGCCGCCCGCGGCCCCCACCCACCGGCCGCTCCTCCCCTCTCCCCACCCTCCTCCTCCGCCCCCTCCCCTCCCCCGCCGCCTCGCACACAGCTCGGCCGAGCGTCTGAACCTCTGGGGCCGCGAGCGCAGGCGGCGAGGCCACCGCACCTGCAGAACGCTCGAGCTGCGGAGCCGGCACCTCGCCTCTCACCGCCCGATCCCCTTTCCCCACTCGCTGGGTTGCCCATGACGCCCACGACTCCCTGTTGGCGACAATGACCACTTCCCTGCAAGATGGGCAGAACGCCGCGGGCAGGGCGGCTGCCCGGGACTCGCCGCTGGCCGCCCAGGTGTGTGGCGCTGCCCAGGGGAAGGGCGACGCCCACGACCTGGCGCCAGCCCCCTGGCTCCACGCGCGAGCGCTCCTGCCCCCTCCGGACGCGACCCGCGGTTGTGTTGTGGACAGGTAGGCAGCCCTCCGAGGGCGCGGGGGAGTGTCCTGGGTTGGCAGCCGGCAAGGGGGTGAGGAGGCGGTCCTAGGGGTGAGCCATGTGCCCAGAGCTGGGCCAAGTTTGTGAAAAAGTCTCTGAAGACAATTCCCTTTGAGCTTGCTTCTACCAGATCAGCAGGACATTGCGATCTTGCAGCGCCTTATTATAAATAGCATCACCGTTTCATTGAGAGCTCTCCGTGTTTCTCGCCTCTGTCCATTGGTGTGAACTAGGAGGCCAAACTCCAGATTGTCCACCCTCTGCTGCTGCTTAGTGACCCAACATTGTCTTCAAAATATACAATCCTTTTAATTTTATGTATTTTTAAAAATCAAAGCATTAATGACTTCACCTCCCACATAGAATCTTACAGCGACCCATGAGAGGCATAGCATGGATTGACATTTGAGCAGTCTTTACTGTTCAGCAGGAAAGAATAGAGGCTTTAAAAGGTTTCTCAATCTCCATTGCATCCAGCACAAAGTGTCTTTAGAGTTTGCACATACTTTTGGAAGGAAAAAAAAAAAAGACTACAACGGCATGAAAATCTATGAATCTTTATTTTCATACATTTAAATGGTACTTTTTTTCCCCCTTCAGGTTTTCAAAGTGCTCAGACATCAGTGAAGTTAAAATTACTCTCCAATGGACTTGTTATACTAACAAGTTCTATTAACTTATCCCTTTAAAAGTACTGCCTTTCTGTTTAGTATCTATAAGCATTTGAAAAATCAGCAGACTGTGTGTGGGCAACATTGTGAATGAAATTTTGAAGAGACATGAACTGCAGCTATAATTAATAAATCATAACTTCCAAAAGTGACTGGTAAAATATCAAAGAGATTAATTCACTAAATGTAATTTATATGCGTTGTCAATTTTATGTATGCTTAACAATGTCTAACTCCTTATGATAATTTTGCACTAATATTTATATAGTTCATAATATTGCTTCAGGAAGATTATTAAAGTGCAGGAAATGGAGTTTCCATGTCTTGTGATTTTTTAAAAGGCAAAAAAAAAGTAGGACTATTGTAGATTTATTTGTATCAATTAACACTTTATTTTGATATCCAGAAAATATGTCACAGACCTTTCCAGTACACTTGATATATTATTAGAATTGTCATAGAGTGGTACATGTTGGCCTTAACAACACTTTTTAATCCTGACAGCAATTATATTTTACATTCTGCTTTATGTAAATTACATCCTATGTTCTCTCGGTGTAGGAGAAAAAAGAAAGATCTTGATGTTCTGGAAATGCCATCTATTCCAAACCCTTTTCCTGAGCTGTGCTGTTCTCCATTTACATCTGTGTTGTCATCGGGCCTGTTATCCAAAACGAATTCAAGGAAAAAACAGGTATGCATTTCTAAATTTTCAAATTCAAGTATTTTAGGAGTTCTGAATCAATACAGTTTTAAGATTTTCAGTATTATACAATATTAAAGAATTAGTGTGGCCTAAGCTAAATAACTCCATTGACTGACATAGTCCTTTGGGCTTGCTTTCCTCTTAGAGCCTTAGTTTTCTCAGCTGTATAATGGGAGTGTTAAAAGTTCCTTCACAGAGTCTTGAGATAGGTTAAAAGAGGTAATATATATGAAGTGCAGTGTCTAGAAGCTGATTTCATTCACTGGAAATGAAGGAGAGTTACGAGTGATAATAGATCATTGATTTTAAGTCAGGAATTGGAAGGGGGTGGGAAACGATAGTGAAAAGGGGATTGGCTGATCTCTTATAATGCTTTCTTTCATCTTCATTTTAAACCCCCACCTTGACAACCTTATTATTTACTAAAGGAAAGTGATGTAATGAATCTGGCAAAAGGTAATTTAAATTTAGGATTCAATGTGTCCTCTTCCTTTCAGTGAATTCCAGAGTTTGAAGGCTCTGGCTGCAGAATGCATATGACTTTTAAGTGATGATTAGAAGATAGCATTTATTTTTTATGATTTTCTTTCTTTTCAAATTTCTCATGAGACAGACTCATGCAAATTAGATAATAATGACCAAGCAACCAAGTTAATCATGATTATATATTTTGAGAGAAAAAAAATCAGTGCCTTTGTAATAATTCATCTCTTATCAAATACTGCCTCCAAGTTTTGAACCAGCAAAACAAAGAGGATGTACCCTGAGTGTGGATAGTCATGACTAGAGGGGGATTTAGGGAAGAGTGTTTTTGTAGGTCAGGTTTAGCAAAGTGGAAAATGAGAAAAAGATGCTATGCTGTTATTGACTCCAGTAGGCTTCTTCTGTCCCGTTGGAGAAAGGTCACTGCATGTGCACGTACAAGCACAGGGTCCTGGCTTGACTTCTAGTGACTGATCCTAGAAGGGTATTCCACTTTACAGGATCCCTTCTTGCCAGTCTCTCCCTAGGCTCAAAGGCTGGGTTTCTGTGAAGAGTGTCCCCAGGTTTCAGAAAGAAAGGTTCCTTTTCTTTCTTTGATATTTCCTTTTGCCCCCACCTAGACTTTGCATTTAGAACTTGTCCCTTTTGTTTTTATTCTTTTGTACATGCTCAGTTCTTTGGAATGAGGGAGGTTTTGAGAACACATGAGTCTATCAGTAATTTCCCAAGCTCAGTATTGTTGTGACACACATATCTTTTTTTATAAGATGGTGTTCCTGGTCCAGTTATCTCTAGCTTTTAGTTGGGATGATGTAAGGGATTGTATGTAATTGTATTATTCTATCAAATATCACTTATGATGGAAATCATTTAGGAGAAGATGACTTTTCTTTATATTGTTTTTGATTTTTTTAACCATCCCAGTCATTTTAAAAATTCTTTTCTCCTAATAGGGAAAGTGGAGGATTGTTACTTGCTATTTACAAATAAGTGACCAGAAAGTTTAAGAGAACCCAGACTAGAAATATTAAATTTAATTTCGTCTTTCAAAACCAAAGTCAAAAAATCATTTTACAGAACAGACTTTTTTTTCTTCATTAAAAAAAAACCAATATGACTATAAGTAGTAAAGTACATTGAAGCTACAAATAGGATATGCTTTATCTCTTTTTGCAAATAAAATGCCCCAAGGAATACAATATTGTAGAATTTCAGTATTATTATTTTAAAATGAGAGCTAGAATGACAGAATCTATATTCTTTAATCTTTCTCCCTCTTTTTATAGTGCTGGTCACATATAATCCTCAACCTATATCTTTATGTTTACCAATAATGCAGATTTAGAGTGTACCTTCCTTTATATACATACATGAGAAAAATTATTTTTAAACTCTATTTTTTTTCTAATTTCTGATTGAAATTTGCTAGGAAATCATCCTTTAGTAATGAACTCTAAACACCTATTACTTGAAGAAAAGTAAGGAGTAAGAGATCTTTAGCCCTCTTGTCTCAAGCTTTTCAGTCCCTGGGTCATTTTAATGCTTGGACACAGTTTGTGCAGTAAGTTTCGTTAATTACTTTCTGGGACTATATAGTATAACTGATTCAGATTAAGCTTTGTGAAACAGGGTGTTCTGGAATATTTGAGTTAGGAGGGAGTTTCAAGCTCATTTAGTCTAATGCCCTTCTTTTACAGAAGGTTTAGCAAAGTGGAAAATGAGAAAAAGATGCTATGCTGTTACTGACTATTCACTATTAGGTACCTAGCACTTCTTAGACTCAATTTACAGATGTGTAAATTGAGTCTAAGAAGTGCTAGGTACCTAATAGTGGCATAACTTCAACCTGAAATCTGCATTTCTTGAGGATTTGACTGAAATCTTTTAAGAGAACAAAATTTGGGCCATAAGAATTGTATAAGCAATAAACATACACCAGCATTATTAGCTACAACTCTACTTATAATACAAGAATATGAGGAATAACACATGCTATTTGTTAATATTTGTCTAAGAACCTGGAATTTCTCTATTCCCCCCCACCCACTTCTTGAAATGCAACTATCTCTTTGTGTTTTTTTTTTTCTTTAGCTTTCCCATCCCTAAGATTGATGTGAAAAATCTATCAAGTTCTTGGACATATCAAGAAATACTTATGAGTGTCATTAATAACTGGCTTTTATGTATAGTTTATGATCCACTGGATATTATATTGTGAGAACAGAAGTGCCACCTACCTTTTAAGATTGAAAAATGAACATGCAAAACTGGAATTGGTTTGCCCATCCTTCTGCAGTTGAAATGAGGGAGATCAAAAAGAGTATTATGTCTCTGTGTGCTCTGCTTCTCACACACTGTTTCTGGACTACTTTGTAGTGAGTTAAGACTTTTTTGTATATTCTGGAAAAATAATGTCTTCCAAATAATTAAGGAATTAGTTTTCCATGTGCTCTGACTTTAATTTATTTCCTTTTGTCTGTCAGGGACTTTCAAAAGATAAATGAATCTCTGTCCCCAATTTAAAAGGCCTGTTATGTCATTTCTTTGTGATGTCAGTAATTATTCTGGTTTGTCTGTGCTGAGCCTGTATGTGTGCTCTAAAAGGAATCTTGGGTGACTGCTACATTAATTGAGTTTTCATATACTCCTTTTTTCTAATATGCACAGAAATAGAAACAAAATCTGCCACATTCTCAGTTTTGCAGACTCAGCGATTATCAAGATTTTGCACCATTTATTTTATATATTCCTTTTGTAAGTTTTCATTGTCTTTGTTGAAATGTTTTAGAGGAAATCATGGATATCTTGTCATTGGAACTCTACCTAGTTTTATAAGCATCTTTGAAAAAATGAATTAAAAAAATAAAACCCAAATGCCATTATTCTCTAACAAAAATAACAACAATGCCATGGTACCATCTAAAACCATCCATAATCAAATTTTCTCAGTTGGAATGGCACATGAAATCCTCAAATTACAAACTGGCTAAGTTTCAAAAGTCTGCAAATTAGTTCTTTGGGAGTTTAAATTCATTTTCAGATGGAAACAACAACATAAATTGTATTTTGGCCCTCCAAGCTGTTTTACAAAATCCCATTTAATGTGAAATGAAACACAAATATATATGCAGAGAGAATAACAAAAACAATACTTGCTCTTTATAGGGTTTCAAACAAATCTATCTTTCTAAGAGCAATTTGCTACTTTTGAATACAGATGTTTGATGAATATAATTATTTTGTTGAAGTTATAAGTGTACAGATCTTTGTAGTAATGTTAAAGTAGGCTTTACAGCAATGCTTCTCAAAGTGTGGTTACTAAACCATTATCTTTGTCTTCAGAATACTTGAATCTCTTGCAGAACTCACTGAGTAGTAATGTCCTGGGAAAGGATAGAAGGTTTTGTCTTATGTTTTTCTTTTTGACATATGTACAGGATCAATTAGTGCTGCTCTTAATCTCTACCACTTTTAGAATCTGACCTTTCAAAACTGTGGACAAATCTATTTAGATGAGAAAAACTGGGAATATTGCAAATGGACTTTTGTAGCTATGCTAGCCATGTATTGATTGATTGGAGGAAACAGAGCCTTAAATGAACTAGCCTGAGAGGTTATATTTTAGTACCTGAAGGTCAATAGTTCAATGGTCTCATAAGAGATTAGAACTGAGAATTAGAAAGTCAGCTATCATGAAAACCACTTTCTCTGTTCTCTTTTATTCTCCAACAGGCATACCTCATAGTCTCTGCTTCTTGCAGATCCGTTTCATTTTCTGATATTTTTATGTAGTTTTGCTTGCCAGTGGACACCCCTAAGTTGTAACATTAGTGGATGAGTTCTTCATTACTGACTGGAGTCTGTATCTGGAGAGTTATTAGCTCAGTGTGTCCCACTCTTACCAGTTGTGGCCAAGGGGACAGCAGGGATGTGGACCAGTGCTTGCTCAGCAAGGGTGTGGGAGGTTCCGTGAGGAGGTACAGGTTCGGTAGGCATGGTATTTGGAGGCAGGGAAGAGACAGTGGACAGCTAGTGTCCTGGGAGAAAAAAATCTCAAACAAAAATAAGAGGGCACACAAACTAATTCTTTTCATATATGTGTGATGTAGGATGACACATGAATTTGTCTGTCTGACTTAGCCCTTCAGTTTCATGGTATCCAGTTTATTTGCCTCAATTTATTTAATATATGACACATATTTACTAGACAATGTTTTTAGTTGATGTCACTCTTCAAGGATGTCCTGAATGTACATCTTAGTGAGGCCCCTCAGCCATTGATGACAGGAGGTACCCACTCAGTATCCTCTCAACCTCATGCTAGTTGTCTTCATTTGTAGTAGAAGACAGCTGCCTCTTTCTATTTCAAAACTTAAATCCTCTAGCAGAGCTTCTATTTTTCAAGCTTTTACTTACAGTTTGGTTGATTCTCAGGGTACATTTGCAGTACAACCTTTATCTTCAATATGGGCTTATTTTTTCACTTTTTGAAAACCTAGTTTCTG